AATTTCTTCCACTGGAAAAAAATGCGGAAAAATGAGCCAAATACGTTGAATATATTTGGCCGCTCCGCGAAAATAAATATCAAATCCTAAATAACCGCGATTGACTAGACCGGCTAAGTTTTGTTGATTTTATTGACCGAGTCGGCCGCAATATTAGCATTAATTACTTGCTAGCTAAGGAAACGATTAAACAACGCCGGGAAACTGGTCTGTCTTATGCAGCATTTAGTTATTCGCTCCTCCAAGCCTATGATTTTTATTATTTACATAAAAATTATAATTGCTATGGGCAGTTGGGGGGGAGCGACCAGTGGGGTAATTTAACGACCGGATTAAAACTAATCCGCAGCATTTACCCCAACAGCAAAACTTTTGGTTTTACCTTTAATATGCTAGTTGATAAAGAAGGCAAAAAACTCTCCAAATCCGAGAACAAGAAAGGAATAATTTGTTTAGACGAAAAAAAAACCTCTCTCAAAGAATTCTACGATTTTTTTCGGAACATGCCTGACTCCCAAGCCGCAATATTTATCCGGCAGTTTACTTTTTTGAGTGAGAACCAAATTAATAAACTGGAAAAATTAAACAACCCTCCTCAACGCAGGATATTTCAGAGAATTTTATACGAACTGATATTTATCCTTAATTATCGTTGTTATCAGAAGATTTTTGATTAAAGCATGAAAGGTCAAGAGAATTTCTATTTTTTTCGCTTACTTAACTCTTCTTTTACTCAATCTAATTCCTCTTCCAAACTCTTCCTAATATCATCTTTTCTAACAAGTGTCCTTTCTAAGTTAGTTATTTTTCCTTGTAAATAAACATCGACAAAATCATTCGCATTCTTAACAGCTTCATCCAGACTATCAGCATAAATTGAACTAGTTTTATCCATATCCGGTAAGTAAACTTCACAAGCATAAACTCCCGCCAGACTGCCTTTTTCAACTTTTTTTGGATTACTAATAGTTATCTCAAACATCGAACCTTTAATATTATTACATAATTACATCGTATTTCAAATTTTGGTTCTTAACTCTTTCGCTTTTCTTCTTAATTTTCTTATTTACAAGGTTTTTTGCGTGGTCTTGTCCCGTTAAACGCTAGGGGAGTTTTATCAATTAATTCTTCTATTTCGAGCGTCTTGGCCTCGCTAATTTTTTTGATGACTACGTCCCGACCCAGGCCTGGATTTCGCACTTGTAATACTACTTTTTGAATTCCGTAATCCCCCGCCTTTTTGATAGTTGTTTCGGCCACTTGTTCCGCTACTCAGACAGTAGATTTTTTAGTTCCGTGATAGCCAAGACTACCAGCACTAACTTGGCATAACACCTCCCCATTTTCTTTACTTAAATTCAAGATAGTATTGTTGAAACTGAAATAACCGTTGATAATTCCTCGCCCACCCGGAACTTTCTTAATTTTTTTCGCCCGGTCCGTTTTTTTTTCTTTCATAAGTTAGTTAACAGTTATTTAATTCTTTATACAATCTATACAATCTTTATCACGCTATTTTCGTTTTGTCTCCTCCCATTAAATTAGTCTACAAAAACATTAAAAATTATAAATAATAGTATAATAATATGCCGAACAGTAAACAAACACAGCCAACCATTCCAGAACTTAATCCTTTTGCCCATTTACTAGATAGGGCTAAAAATAATCGGTTTACTATAATCAACAGGCAATGATTTCGTCAAATGTGGAGAAAAAGTTCTGATGACCCTCTTTATTTGCCAACTGAACTCTTAAATCAAATTTTAACTTACTTACCCGACCCATACCAATTAACTCCCGAAGAAATTAATTTTTTGGAGGAAAATATTAATGCGTTAGATTCGGCTCTGTCTCTTTATCAAAACACAAGAGATTTCGAGCAGAAAAGGAGGGCAGGAATGTTGTGATTTGAGAAAAAAAACCAACTAGCCGCGATATGAAACAGGGTTTATACTGAAAATCCGGCCGGTCCTGAACCTCTTCTCACTTGTCCCCTAACGAATGACCAAATTCCTTTTGACTCATGAATTAATTATAATCTTTACAGTCATTTATGGAGACTACGACGAAATGGGAGAGATAGAGGAGAGACATCGGCAGCAATTACTCTTCAGTTGATAATATGGTTAACTTTTCTCCCTATAATTATACTCGACTGATGGTTCAGCAAGAATAGAAGGAAAGAAGTCCGAAAAAAATGAGAATTAATCAGAAACACGGGAGGAGCAATAGGAACAATAGTGATAGCAATTTCCTAGCGTTTTGGTAAGAAGATTTAAGAATTATTAGATATTAAATATCAGTCGTAGTCTTTTTCACCACCTTGCATTGCACCGGTAGTTTATAACTAGCGGCCGTTAATGCTTGATAAGCAACCTCTTTTGGTAATCCTTTAACCTCAAAAATAACTGTTAATTGCTTGGCTACGGCTACTCAACTATCAATTGCACCTTTGCCCGAGCCCATACGAACTTCCAAAGGTTTCTTAGTTTTGGCTAAATGAGGAAAAATGTTAGTTTTCACTTGTCCGGCTTTGAATTTTTTCAAAAATTTTCTAATTACCTTATGAGATGCCTCAATCTGTTTATTACTAATATAGGAGCCCTGCTGAACTTGTAAGCCGAATTCTCCTCACTTTACTTCTTTATTACCCTTGGCCTTCCCTTCATATTTTACAAGATGAGGATAACGATATTTGGGATTTTGTTTTGGTATTAGCATGTCTTTATTGTAATTTGTGAAAAATTTTCAGTATTGTTGTTTTCTTTTATGTTTATAATTTATTTAAATCTAATCTTTTTGCTAGTTATAAAATCGAAAAATCATTATAATTTGAAATATCTGGGGTATTATGAATAAATCAGTAGTTTTCCTAGAATCGGCTATTAAGAAAAAAACTATTGAAACTTTTTTAGGAAAAGATTATGTAATCTTTGCTACTGGTGGCCACTTGACCGAATTAGTTAAAAAAGGTTACTACAATTTAGGGGTGGACTTAGAAAAATTCACTCCTGCTTATGAGATAATTCCCGAAAAAAAAAGACTGATTACTTTCTGAAAAAATTTTTTACACCAAGAAAAAATTCAGACTATCTATCTGGCTACTGACCCGGACCGGGAAGGAGAAGCCATTGCTAAACAAGTTGTGAAAAATTCTCAGCCTTGAGCCCTCGCAACACCAACGGCTATTTTTTTACGAAATAACGCCCCGTAGTGTTCGCGAAGCCTTATCCAATCCCTTGAATATCAATGAAAATTTGGTTGAAGCCCAAATTTCCCGACAAGTGCTTGACCGCATGGTGGGCTTTTGTCTGAGCACAGTTTTACAAAAAAAATTACAGGCTCTTTCAGCCGGCCGAGTGCAATCCGTAGTTTTAAAATTAATCGTCGAGCGAGAACTAGCAATCCGTAATCACGAAAAAAAAAAGGAATATATTGTTTGCGGTATTTGCCTCGTCGAACAAGAAAAAATAACCCTTAAACAAGTAAAATCTACCGGTGAGTTAATTGTCTACCCCGAAATTCCGGCGGCCGAAAAAATAACCACCAAATTAGGACTAGATTTCCAACTAGTCACTAAAAAAAAGGAAGATAAAATTATTTTACCTAAATCACCTTTAACTACTTCTTTGTTGCTTTCTGAGGCTAAGTCGCAGTTAGGATTTTCTATTGCTCAAACTACACGATTAGCCCAGAAACTATATGAAGGGATAAGACTAATTTCTTCGGAAAAACAAGTTGGCTTGATCTCTTATCCCCGAACTGACTCGACCCGGATTAACCGTGAATTTGCTAACCAATCCTACAATTTTATTAGCCAAAAAATGAGGAAAAAATTATTGTAATTTTTCTCCCGCTTGAAAAAAAAAAAAAGTAAAAATAAATATTCAAGACGCTCACGAAGCTATTCGACCGACTTATCTCAAATATCATCCCGATGACGAGGAAATCAAAACGTCCTTAACTAAGGAAGAGCACCAATTATACCAGTTAGTTTTTCATCATACTTTAACTAGTTTTATGGCTCCGGCTCGGATTAAGAAAATAACTTACCATTTTCTTAACAATGGTTATTATTTTTCCACCAACGAAAGAATTAGTAATTTTTTGGGTTTTTTGGCTGTTGACCCCCCAATCTACTTACTCCATTACCGAATAAAAACTCAGGCTAAATTAATTGATATTTCCCTGTTAAGTGCTGAAAAAATAGAAATTCAGGAATATTTAGAAAACAAACCGGTTCGTTACAATGAAGGCAGTTTAGTTCAAGAATTAGAAAGACTGGGTATTGGTCGTCCTTCTACTTACAATACATTCGGGCGAAAAATCCAAAGTCGCAAATACGCCGAACTAAATCCCCGAGGGCAGTTTGTTCCCACTCCCTTGGGATTTACGGTCAACACTTGACTGCAAAATAATTTTGCTAATTTGATTAATGAGGCTTATACTGCTTCTCTCGAAGAGAAATTAGACCGAATTAGCCGCGGGCGAAGACAGTTACTACCACTTTATCAAAAATTTCTGACAAGAATTTAATCAACAATTTCAAAAAGTAAAAATAAACTAGTAAACTTAACTTGCTCTAATTCGCTATCACTATTACTCATTAATTAATTTTTGGGAAATTTGATAAGAAAAAAGTAAAATAATTACTGTGTAATTATCATATGATGTTTAAAGGTTGCTTTCGTTGTGGAAAAAATATGCCCGAAGAAGGAGGGAAATTCAGAGAACTCGACAAACTTAAAAGCAAGTCAGTAAATCAACAAAAACGAGCCGCAAAAGCCTCTAAAGCCTCTTTTATAATCGTTGAAGAGCAAGGAATAGAAAAAACACTGTATTTCTTTTGTGAAGAATGTCTTGTTAACATTAAAAAGAAAAACAAAAAGAGGGGCCAAAAAGAGAAAAAAAGGAAAGAAAATTTAGCGAAAAAGGTGGAAAACCATGAGAAGCGAATTCAGACTTTGGAGAAAGAGCAAAGGCGAGCAGAGGAGACAACCGAAACAGAACAAATTCAAAAAAAAATATCAATCACTTTTTCCCGAAATTAAGCAAAAAGCCGAAGAATGAATGGAATTGCGAAAATTAAAAACC